ATACAACTTTCAATCCAAACTGAAACAAAGAGAAAGCTACCCTGAAGCTAACTAATACAGTGGACTCTTCCCATCAGTAGGGATTCAGTTTCATGCCCCTCCGTGGATGGGGAAAAATGCAGATGGTTGTGCCCCATATTACGCAATGGGTGGTGATGCACTCAAATCTGCAATAGTATGTCTGCATACACACATCACCGTTTAAACAATAGGGGTTTGGTGATCTGTGGGCATCTGAATTTGAAGATTGTTAGCCTTCCAATGTGGCATGCCCACTGTATTAGCGTGGCCCTCTTCTTCAAGAAAGAACTAGGAAATGGATCCTGCTGTCAGTTTGTCAAAGGCAATAGCATCTAGGTCCAGCTGCCTGTCTTTGGCATCATTTGCACTGCAGAAATAATGCAGTTTGATGCTACTTTAATTGCCATGACCCCATCTTATAGAATCATGGGATTTGTAGTTTGCTGTGGCACCAGAGCTCTCTGATAGAGGAGGCTAAATATCTTACATGACAGTTAAAGCAATATCAAACTGCATTATTTCTGCAGATAGCCTTCCCAAGCTTGGGTCTCTTCCTACATTGGCATACCAGATTTGTGGAGTGCAAGGTTTTTGGAGGTGAGTGTGCTGCCCTTGCAATGAATCCAAGCCCAAGGGCTGCAGAATTCAGGATTCCATGTTCAGGTTTTGGGACACTCTGGTGTCTTGGATTTAGGGTTTTTGGGCTGTCAGCCACACTGGCTGCATCTGCACTTTAGAAATAATTCAGTTTGACACCACTTTAGGTGCTGTAGCACCATCCTATGGAATTCTGGGATTTTTACAAAGGTCTTTAGCCTTCTCTGCCAAAAAGTGTTGGTGCCTTACAAAACTTAAGGATTTCCAGGATTCTGCAGGATGGAGCCATAGTAGGTAAAGTAGTGTCAAAATGCATTATTTCTGCAGCATTGATGCATCCACTGTCTCCTCATTCCATGACCATGGCCAGGTGGCTATGACTTCTTATCTCATGAGAAGGTAAGAAGGAAACATCTTGTCTCATATATAACAACCTAAACTGTGTTCAGAAGATGAGTCCAGGTGCTTATTAACTGCATCCAAGTGCTTGTTAATATTCCCCAGGGTCACGCTCCCTTCCAGGGGGAAAATAAGATGAAAGTTTCTTTTCTACTGTACAATTAATTATACAAAATTGTACACTGTACACTTTGTTTATACCCAATTTTTCACCAGTTTTATCTGCGATGACTACATGTTGTGGAATTGTGACACTTAAGGTTTCATGATGTCTTTAGCATTCTCTGCCCAAGAGAGCTAGTGCCTCACCAAACTATAAATCCTAGGATTCTATAGGATGTAGCCCTGGTAGTAAAAGATGAACCATAGTGCTATATTTGTTTAGTATGAAAGAGACCAAAGCAGCCTCCTTCATCAAGTTTAAGGTCTCATAGGTTAGAATCCCTTCAAAATCATATGGAATACTGTAGAGCAATGGTTCTTAATCTTGGGAAAGCTCCAGATATAGTTAGATTCACTCTCAGAACACCCAGCCAGCATTCCCAATGGTTAGAGATTATGGGAATTGAAGGTTAACACCTGGAACCTCCCTGATTGAGAGCCACTGTTTCAGAGTGTGAGAAAAATAGGGTAAATACAGTATGGAAAGAGAATGGGTGTGAGGAAGACAGTCATCCATACCTTTAATATCTTTCCTGCATTTTTAAATGCACAATAGTAACAGTAACAGTGTTAGTAAGAAATAGCTCCATGAGCTACTTTCAGGACTGTATAAAAAGTCCTAGCACCTAAATAGTTTATCGCAGGGCACTTGCAGGAACGGAAACTGAACAGAGCAGAATGGCACAGAATGGGGTGAGAACGCAAGTTACCACACAGGAGAACGCCACCGATGCCGCTGGGAGTCCGCATGGATAGCATGCCATCCATACTATGGCAGCCAATTTTGAAGAACGATTTTGAACTGTTCTTCAAAATCGGCTGCCAGGAATGATTGGGGAACGGTTTGGGGACTCCCGGCGGCATTCTCCTGTGCGGTAGCTTGCATTCTCGCCCCGTTCCATGCCGTTCCATTCTGTTCAGATGCCATTGGGTGTGCTAATTGCTCCTTCCTCCCCCCAAGTCATCTGCATTTCCTCTTGCGCCAAGAGATAAAGGTGGTCTCTTTTCACCAAAATAGTAAGCTAGTTCTTTCTGCCTACCTTCTGCTGTTTATCCTGCCAAACTCCCTGCCCATTCACCCTGGGGTTGTCCTGATCCAATCACTATTTTTGTCACCCTAAAGTTAAAGCCATCAAGCAGTCCGGAATCCCATTGTCAATTTTTGGGAAATAATATCAAGTCTTTATTACCTTACAAGATAGCTCATCCCCCAAAACTAGGTTTCAGGTCAAAAAACCTAGCCTCTGTGCACACAATATGTATACAGATATCCCAGGCTGTGTTGCATATATGTTCTATGTCACCCTAAGACCCTGGTCTGAGACACTTCATGACCTACTCTTCAGACAGGTAAATATCATCCTCCTTAAACCCCTTAAACTCTGCTATCCAATTTCCATATTTCCATTTTGGATAGCTCTGAATGCTTGTCTGTTTGAATTGCTATTGTGTGTCTGTGGTTGCATTTTTCAAAATAAAATCTTCTTAATTCACTCAACCCTGGTGTCTTCCTCAGTTATTATCAGTATACACAGGTGTCAACAATCCTAAAATTTACCCATCCTCTTGCAAAGTTAATTTCCTCAACATTTAAGGTAACACTGACTTGGTAGGGACACCCCAATCCCCCCACCATTTTTGGAGTAACAATTTGATGATTTTGTGGTGAAATTATTATAATCTTTTGAAAACTACTTTGTGAGTGATTTGTTTGGAAGGCAGAGCATACAGCATATATGATCTTGCATTGTGCCTTTTTTTCAGAGGATTTGTGGGGCCACATTGCCATCTTGACACAAATTCTCAAAAATCCTCCTGGGCATAATACATGTAGATAGAAATGATGTATTATTATTATACCGGATATAGATTATGAATTAAACCTATATGTTGGTATAGTGTTTACCACTTTAGATCACTCTTTAGATCACTCTTTTTAAAAGTTTGTACTCACTCCAGTAGAGTACCCATCCCACTACCATGGAAATCAGCCACATCTATCACCATTGCAATCACCATTCACACTTCACTGGATTATTTTATCTTGTAATATTACATTGTCATAGCACTGGATAGAGTTCCATAGGCCACTGAATCTAACCCTTCATCTAGAACATCTCCAGCAGATAACTGTTCAGTTGCTGAATACATCCAGAGAAGGAGATAGTACCATCTCTCCAGATCAGTGGTTCTTAACCTTTTCTGTACCCCCATGAAATATCTTTTTTTGCTACGGACCACCAAGATTGAACTCCCTAAAATGTTAAACCCTAAAGTTCATCAAACACTGTATTTACCTTGACTTAGGATGGCTGGGGTTGCCTGTTGCTGTTCTGTACTGGGCTGCAGCTGCAGCAACAGTGACAAGTCTTAGGTTGCCCTGGACAACTGACAGAGATTATATCTCCCATTAGCAATTACACCATCTGCTAAATCTTCCCTCAGAGGCACAGAAGGGGAGGGAAGACTTTTTTTCTGCTTCTTCGCACCACTTTGTGGCTGGACCAGACTGAATCGCAATGTACAAGCTCAGGTAGCCAGCCTGCCTTTGCTGTGAGGACCTTATCCTCCCCTGGGGGTCTATGGATCACAGGTTAAGAACCATAGCTATAGATAATTGGTTCCATTGCTGAACTGGTCTTACGGACAAGAGGTCCTTTCTAATGTTCAACCAAAATACAATGGGCTCTTGGTATTCACTGGGTTTTGGTTCCAGGAACACCCATGGATACCAAAATCTGTGGATGGTCACGTCCCATTAAATACAATGGTGTAGTGAAATGGTGTTCCTTATATACAATGGCAAAATCAAGGTTTGCTTTTTGGAATTTATAATTTTGTGAATATTTTCAAGCCGTGGATTGTTGAATTTATGGCTAAAGAATCCGTGGATAAAGAGGTCCAACTGTATAGCTCCTGTAACTTAAAATCATTTCCCCTTTATTTATTATACTTTTTCAAAGAAAAAATGATCATATATAGAATTCAATAACTCATCATGCACATATTCCATAAATCAAAATTTTCATACTTATCTTCTTTCTTCCATTTTTAAACCCTTCCCCCACCCATGCCTCCAGCCTAACTATTTCATGAGAAATTACAGCCATGCTGCACACTCCTAAGCATGCCTAACATTGATGCTTGAGGTATTCAGTTGTTAGTGAATACTGACGTGAGCCATGCTTCTTGGATTGATGTGTAATTCAGAAGATAGCTGTACCATTTGATTTCACATTTCTCCTAATCCTTGTGTGTGGTTCTCAGCTTTGAAAAAAGAATTAAAATCAATTTAAAAATGCATGTTTTCAAAATCAAAATATATCGAGATGTCTTATTCCTATCTGTGCCACAGATTGCATGGTAGAATTCTAGGATGAGTTTTCCAGATTTCTTGGGCCTGTCAAGGGTTATGAAGTGTCCACATTTGTCCAGCATATGCACTTGGGAGTCTGGAATGGCTTTAGCTAGGATTTCTGCTCCAGAGGGATCCATCACCTAAGAAATAAAGAATGAAGACATTGTTGGAGGATGTCACATTTTAAAAAAGAAACTAAATATATAAATATGATGAGAATTATAAATCAAAATGAAAACATTTGAGTGAAAATCCTAAGCCACTATCATCATTGTTATCATCAACAGGGTAGTAAATTCACTGGCCACCAATCAAATATAGATGCCTACAGCCAATGTTTCTCCTCATCAGACCAATAAATTCACTGACCATAAAGCAAATATAAAGGCTTAAAGTCAATATTTCTTTCCCTCTCCTCCCCACTGCTTTTGCACTGTATGCAAAGTACTTGTATTTGAACAACAGCCAGTGTGACATAGTGGTTTGAGTGTTGGACTATGACTCTAGAGACCAGGGTTCAAATCCCCACTTGGCTATGAAAACCCACTAGGAGACCTTGGGCAAGTCACACTCTTTCAGCCTCAAAGGAAAGCAAAGGCAAACCCCTTCTGAATAAATCTTGCTGAGAAACCCCCATGATAAGTTCACATTTGGGTGGTTGTAAGTTGGAAATGACTTGAAGGTGCAAAGTAATACCCAGTATTTGGGGGCTTGTAGTCCAACAACTCCTCCCAAAATTGGATGCCACCTGCACTCACAATAGACCAAGCCCCCAAATTTTTTACACACAAAATGTCCTCAGATGAGGGCTGTCTGTTGCAAATGTATCTGGCATCCACATGTCCTCTTGTCCGCGCTACAGAGCCGTACACAAATCAGGCCTATACAGTTGGCCCTCCAAAAATGGAGATTTGCAAATATTCAAGCCCCATTGGCTTGAATAGGGCACACCCCACTGATTTAAATGGAGGTTACCCCTCCGTGAATATGCAAAACAATGGACTTCCAAGTCCATGAGTACAGACGGCTGACTATATTAGGTCTGCCTCAATTATCATGAGAGAAGGGCCTCTCACCAGAGTTCTGGGCTCTAATCTCATGAGAGGTTTGAAATTTTGCCTCCTTGGAGCAAAGACTTGGGGCAGGTCTTACCCAGGCCTTTCACGTGTATCATGAGCTGCCAGGCAACAGAAGAGGATTGACTTGCATTGGCGTCTGAAGAGCTTGGGTATCTAGTTTACACTAAGAAGCAACAAAAGCTATAGTGTAGAGGAGAGGAGAGGGTACTTCCTTGCTCGATTCTGCTAATGGAAGCAGGCCCATTATCACATGTGCCTTCCTGAATCCTAGCCAAAACCAAAATCTACTTCCAGATTGCAGCCACATGAGGCCCTGATGCTTCCAAGAAGCCTCCAGATGGTATGACTATTGCTCTACACTCTTAAAACAGGCTAGGTCATTTTAACTGCTCTGGCTGCCTCCTGTTGCATTCTCAAACTTGTAGTTTAGGAAGGGGCATTTAGAATTCAGCTAGAGAGCCTTTAAGCCCCACTGAACTACAAACCCCAAAATGCAACACGAGGCAGTCAGAGCAGTTAAAGCAACCTAGCCTTGTTTTAAGAGTGTGGTGCGATAAGCTACTGTGACACACACACACCAATTTGCTTTAGACACAGTGTTCTTCCCAAAACTAGAAGTACCTGACAGACAACAGATTGCATATCAATGTGGCCCCTGGTGCCTCTGCCTTTTCTGAACCTCGCTTGGACCTCTGGGATTTCTCTCTCCGTGTATGGTTGGAGGCTACGTTGCAGAATTTTGAGCATAATTACGCAAATTACATCCAATTACTGTTTTGTTAATCCAAAGTTATCCATCTACCAAAATTGGCTTTATTGTTAATTTTGTGAGAGAGCATTCAAACTCTTTGTATTTTGTGTGAGAACATTAAGCACCCCTTGAGGGCATCAAACAGGTTATAAAGATCCAATCCACACATGGTCACTCTGTGCATTCAGCTGCCTCTTACTGGCACTCTGTCCAACCTTACAGAGCTTCCTCCTCTTCCTGTATCACCTTCAGACGCCATCTGAGCAACACCCGACTTCCTGTGGATTCCTCTTTAAGACTGGTAAATATCATCCCCTCTACACCCCTAAGCCTCTGCTATTCAATTTCTATACCTCTATTTCAGTTAGCCTTGTGTGTTTCTGCTTGAATTGCTATTCTGTGTGGGGTAACAATCTGGCAGATTTCCAAATAAAACCTTCTTTATTCATTAAACCTGCAGTCCTCCCACAGTTGGTACTAGTATACAGTGGTGAAAATGATCCCTTAGGTTACCCAAGCTCTTGCAGGCCTCCTTGAACTAAGCAATTCCCTCAATATTTAAGGAGACACTAACACAGTTGGTCTCTCCATCTTTTTGGGTAACAACATTGGCACACATAATAGTCAAAGAGTCTACTTGAGCCACGGCCCTTTCAGAAACAGCAAGTCATTTGTTGAACTCCTTACCTTGTCCTCCTTTCCCCAGATGATCTGTGTTGGGGCTGTTATTTTGCTCATGCTATCATGAAGGCTATACCTGGACCTCATGCTGGACATATCTAAAAAGCCTTTTCCAAAAAACAAACAGAGTTAGGGCTGTTTTGGTCATCAATTCATCTCCACAATGCATCTCTTTCAATTTCAGACTATGGGTGGGTGCTGTTTTGAGGTGTGGAACCCTCCAAAATATAATTTTACAACTCTAAAAGGCTGCTTTGCCTGCCCCCACCACCATCTTCTTCAGTACCGGCTGCGCGCTGGGAGAAGGACTGGGG